TGAGGGCGTTGCGGCAACATGGTCACTAGAGATCCGGAATGTTTGCGCGGGATCTTGAAAAATCATCTCTGCCGTTGACGAACCTTTCTGAAGAATATCATTGCTATACTGCTTTTGTTTTGCGAACTACCGTATGCCTAGCTCATTAAAGAGGCATGGTGGTATCACAATTCCAGTTTACAATTAATGTATCTTAAGAGGAAACGTAGAGAGCTCATAGATTCCGGGCGTGAATTATATAACATAAGTTTTTCGTCCCTTAGGTAGCTCATTTCTCAAATGAGCTTTCCTACTTTTAATTTGGGTGGAAAAATTAGAAACGTAATTAGTAGGTCCGCCCCCTGGCCACTCGGCAGTCAAACCCCCTAAGATTTGTGCCATTGCTATCCTCATAAGAATTTTCGAGGAATTTTGAAGGAATGCAGTCCAGCAAAAATATTGAAAGCACAATCTCAAGGTTATGATAGGGGGATTGAACAGATCAACTTTATTTTCCGACGAGGAACCATTATGGGCTCTCGTCATATCAAAGAGAAGCGGAACAACTAACTCCGCAGTGGTCAGGGTTGCAAACGCTCGAGGACTGATCGCACCTGTACTTACTTACCCTATCGCGATTCGCGAGCGCGCGTAGGCTGTAAGCAGATCACATTTCGCCCAAAAAAATCCAGAGTATGTATCCCGGCCCACCGCGGAGTTAAAATAGTTGCATGTTGGGTTCGAACCCAACTTCGTGTAGTCTCTCAACGTTCTTCGCGTTTTTTGAATTGAAAGAGTGTTCCATTATCTTTGATGTCAAAAAATAAGGCTTCAATTTCATCAAAAGGCTAACCGAAACATTATTACATCATTCACGTGAACCGCACACTGATAGAGGTGTACATGACATAGAGCAAATGCAAATCCCGAATTGCTTTTATTTACCGCCTAGTACAAGGAAACAAGGTAATCAGTTTTATAGCGCAAGGTGACTAAAAAATGATTGGATTCCGTTTGTTTTTTCCGTACAAATGGACGCCATTATCGAAACAGTAAATAAATATTTACCAAACAGCACAATTTATTGGGTCGTAAATTGAGAAATTGGCGTGTTCTTTCATGTATTAGGTTGGGATCAGCATTGCTGCCCTGGACAGCAGAAAAAAAATTGGTTTTGTTTTGGTCTGAATGGCGATGGTCCAATGTAATATTAAGTATTTGTCGAGCGACACAATTTTTCAACAGCATCTTTTTCTTTAAACAAAAGTTTAGCTCCGTAGCTTGAAATTATCTCGTCCCTATAATTTTATAGTGCTGGGCGGCTGAAAAGTGAGCGAACCTAAGTTTTTTTTACATGATGGGACAACAAAATTGAAGGACTAAATATATTGCCACGCGACCCAATTATTTCAAGGGCATCGTCTTGCTTAAACGAAGCAAATAGCTCAGTAGCGTGAAATTATCTCACCTCTCGGTTTTTTTGCGATATTTTGACAATGATTCGGCCCTTTGTTTTAATTTCAGTGGAACAAATTAGCACCAATGAACCACTGCATAGGTACTTGACATAATATTAAAATTTGTTCTGAATGTTGATCAACTTCACGGATTTTTTGCTAATCCTTTCTGCTACACATTTGGGCTCGGCATCGTCAGGAAAAAATTGACACTTTCAAATCCTGAAAATTACTTATTTTTCCCTTAAAAATCGAAATTATCTCAAAGAATGAAAATAATATGTAATGCAACATCTTCCGTGTACGCAAAAGAAAATAGTGTTTTTCGTAAATAGACTAAGTTTATAAAATCTGCTACCATGTGCAAATAACTCTTTTCGGATTTAATTTGACATGGATTTTCTGCAAATTTTACAGAGAGTTCAAAAATGCTTACTTAAATTTAAAATTCTAGACCGGAAAAAAATTCATAGCGCACTAGCGAAACGGTTGCCTGAGAGTTGAAAGGATTCTGGGGTTGTAAATTGCTGACAATAGCCAGCGAGAAACAATGAGCTGCTGGAGCTCTTTCCAGGACTTGTCTATTCACTGGCCGTCAGTGTTGCCGTGTTTCACTTTTACCCTTGAATATACATTGCTTTCCCAAAGATACAAATCAATCATAAACCGTTGCATGAATGGACGAGAGGCGACTAACATGGGCAAAATGGAGTAGGGGGTGATGTGCTGGAAATTCTTTACTTTGAGAAATAGGTATAGACGAAGAAACTATTTGATGAAGAAAGTCCCTCAAAAGGGAGAAAATAGCCAAGTAACATTGAAATACGTTGGAGAGTCGATGTATCGATTCGTTATATTGATTTTTTCCGATTTCACTCGGATTATTAACTCTTAGGTACATGAATCCATAATAGCGAATTTCAATGATTTTACTTTTATAACCCCCCCCCCCCCCCCCCCCCNTGGTAGATCCTCTATCGTGAAGGTACAAAACTTTTTTTGAACGGTACATTTCGGTACTAAACTAGTGATATTAAAAGGAGTAAAGAAGCATTCTTAACTCTAGCTTGAGCATTCAGAGCAAAGAAACGGCATGTTTAATACTGGCAGGCAGGGCAGGGGTACCATGCTCAAGGGGACTCCCGCCGGGAGGGGGGGGCCTTAGGGTAAAAAAAGTGCGGTTTTTTCGATGGTACTATTTTGGTACAAAACTCTTAGTACACATTCTGAGGGTTTTCCAGTACCTAGGTCCGTTTATTCGAAAATATTTCCCCAGGCTCCCCCCCCCCCCATTTGACCCCCCCCCCCCACTTTTGACCCCTCGTAGCCTTCTTATCGTGAGGGTACAAAACTTTTTTTGAACGGTACATTTTGGTACAAAACTTTGTCGATAAAAAACAGTAGAATTTGAGAAGTGGGGGGCTTAATTTCTCCAGCCCCCCTCCTGCGTTTTGAGTATACGTACTTTACACGATGGGTACAAAACTTTTTCTTTGTGGTACTTTGACAATTGACAAAACTTTGACAATCTTGGATTTTAATTTTCAGAAGGTGGGAGGTCTGGAGAAATGGACCCCCCCCCCCCCCCGCGGCCAAATAATTATTAAATCCCCGTATTCTACTATAACAAGAGTCCCTGAAAATTGAAGGCCCGATTTTTACATGCTTGCGAAGTCGGACAAAAAAATGGCAAAAATTGCTGTGATTTCGACCAAATTGAACGATTCGGCCTAACTGTGATCTTAAAAATAGCGGGAAAACCGCCTGCATCCAAAAAACTAATATTTTCCCCTAATCAACTATATAAATGGTTCTTAAAAACTGTGGCGGCCAATCACCGCTCACCTCTGGCGACACAGCCCATGCTCGCTCCTGATTGGCCGACGCAGTCTCAACCACGGTTAAATACGTCGTGACCACACCGACCATGGTCATTCCGCGCCCGTCAGTCACACGGGACTCACATCGCACAGCACCCAGCGGACTTCATGCAGCCGGCCGGCTTGCCCCTTTTCAACGGCCCTGTTCAGGGCCACCACACGATGAGCACCTTTCATGGTTATTGGCCATAAAACCAAAACTTGACTTTCTGCAGGGTTGCCTGGCCACCTAAAGAAAATCAATAAAATCGTTGACATATACGTTTCGTAACTGACTGCAATAGCAGCGTTTTTTGTATTTTTAAAGGCATAAGGGGAGCACAAAAAATATTTTGATCCAAAAAGTAATTAGCATACCTTAAAGGATCACTATACAGGGTGATCCAAAAGTCCCTTCCAACCCCTCCAACTTTTTACCTAATTGAGGTAAAGATTTGAAACTTGGGGGATGTACCAAGGTCAAAGGGAGCTACTTTTTGGCCCCCCTAAAATTTTCAGGGTGGCCCCCCTTGGGGGGCAACGGACCCCAACTCTTAATTTTCAAATGGGAAGACCCCTTTTGTGATAGCTCGTTTGAAAGAGCATAAAAAAATAAAACTTTTCGCGCAAACCCGAAGTCAATATCTCAAACTGTTTCAAAATGGCGGCCGGTTAAAGTTCAAAACGGCCGAAAATTCACACCGGTTATTTGTCGATGGATTTGCGCGAAAATCGGTATGCAGGGGTATTTTTACCCGAGAAAACCGAATTTGACGTTAGATTTTCAAGAAAACCGAAATTTCCAAAATGGCCGCCGGTTAAAGTTTAAAATGGCCGAAAATTGTCGCCTCGGTTTTTTGCAGATGGATTTGCCTAAAACTTGGAATTTGAGAGTATTTTGGCATAAGATTAACACATTAGAACTCAGATTTCTAAAAAAATCAATTTTTGGTCATTTTGAACTTTAACCGGCGGCCATTTTGGAAATTTCGGTTTTTTTGAAAATCTGACGTCAAATTCGTTTTTCTCGTGTCAAAATACCCCTACATACCGATTTTCGCGCAAATCCATCGACAAATAACCGGTGTGAATTTTCGGCCATTTTGAACTTTAACCGGCCGCCATTTTGAAACAGTTTGAGATATTGACTTCGGGTTTGCGCGAAAAGTTTTATTTTTTTATGCTCTTTCAAACGAGCTATCACAAAGGGGGTCTTCCCGTTTGAAAATTAAGAGTTGGGATCCGTTGCTCCCCCAAGGGGGGCCACCCTGAAAATTTTAGGGGGGCCAAAAAGTAGCTACCTTTGACCTAGGTATATCCCCCAAGTTTCAAATATTTACCTCAATTAAGTAAAAAGTTAGAGGGGGTGGAAGGGACTTTTGGATCACCCTGTAAGTGAGTTGTTACTCCAAAAATAAGGGCCCTAGCCAATTTCTATCATGCGTAAACAGTGCGATGAAATTGCAAAAAACCAGATGAGTATGTGATTTTTTTACACAAATTGCAAAAGTGGCACCCAAAGAAATTTTTTTCCAAGAATGCTTTGGCACACTTTAGTTTGATACCTAGGCACAACTTTCCTCCCTATGGGATTTTGAAATTCGAAAGTCGGTGTTTTTTGACCCGCTTTGGTGCGGGGGGAGGGGGGGCTTGCCTATTTTGGAGGGAGCGCCGAGCTCCCTGAAGAGTGTAAAAACAACTTTACCTCTATGAGAACAGTTAAATTTTCTCTTTCCTGTAATCTTGAATCTAGGCTGTCTGACAAAATTCTAGCAAAAGTATCTACACTTTGATTTAGGATTGAATTGGCTTCTTCCGCTTGGTCTGCAGCAGCTTCAAAATCCAACTCCCCCAATTTCTGAGTAATAATGAGGAGTTTGCATATGTATGGAAAATAATATGGTGATTCAACATACAAAAATAACCGAGGTTTGGAGACACCGCTCAGTACATTCTGAAACAATTAAAAAAAAAATAAATGGGAAAAATGGTGAAAAAAGAAAGGCATTCTCTCTAAGGAATAGAGAACCTCTGACTCACAGTAATTATTTTTCAATGAAGCATGTGTATGTGTCAGGGATTTGCAATTTATAAAATTTATCAACATTTTTGCCACAAATCTTCTCTGAAGTGAACTCCCAAGCTTAAAGAAGAGCTCTTAAAGGTTGAGACCGCAATGGCAGGGATCTTCAACGTTATGCTGAGAGTCGACCTCTGACTCTCTTCAACTGTCAGTCTTCAGCAAGTACATTCGCATAGCTGCCACTTTATTGGCGGCTAATGTATTTGCTCCCTACTTGTGCATCAGAGTTGGATTTAGGATTTTACCGCCTAGTGCCAAAAAAATTTCGCCGCTCCCCCCTTCCCCCACCATGTGTTCAGAACAATATCTTAGAAATACACCAAAAAAAATATGAGTTTTGGAAACACGACAAAATCCTAATTCCTTTTAGCTACGATGCAAGAAAGAATCTTGGATTTGTGCAAAAAAGTGTGGCAAACAAATGTTTTAATGAGAAAAAATGATTCCCCATGAAATTAGGATCAACAACATGAAACAATACTTCCTCTCTATCCTAGGGGAGCGAGAAAGTAAAAAGCTAAAATGAAATGTAAAATGATGAACGATGAATGAAACAAGGAGAAGAACAGACTGAAATAAGCTAATTTTTTTTAAAAATTTACAAATCAATTTAGATGAGAAGAGAGAGAAAATTTGATGTGTACTTTGAAAATCAAAGCCTTTTTTTCCTCTACTTTGAGAAAAAAAAGTAGTTGGCTGCATGACCCATAGTTTTGACCTAAATATCGAGTTATGAAACAAAAATATGGCAATTTTACTTGACTATCATGAGAATAATTATGAGACCATAAAGAAAATATGGCAATATGATAAAACTTTATATGATTTTGTGACCTGTAGAAACCCTCAAAAGTGATGAACGAAAACTGTCCTTCAAACTGAGATAAAAGCCATTGATTGCATAGAAAAAATGGTGAGTTACTTTATAAATTCCCTTCATATAATATGGAAAAAAATCATTTAGAGTAGAGTCATAAAAATGCACACACACACCTTAGGTAGCTGTGATGATTTTGTTTCTTTTAGCTCATTGATCAGAGTTTCAAGGGATTTTTTAGCAATATTTAGGGTTTCCATAGCGGTCATACTTCGTTTGCTCACTTCTACAGCAGCTATAATGCTACGCAATGTGAAAATTCTTATTTTTAGAAAAGATACATCGAGCTCAAAACTTTTCCGTAGAAGTTCTGGGGTAGAACGTCTGAAAAACAAGATAAGAAAAGGAGAATTATCAAGTCAACAGATGAAAATTAATCTTTTTCATCTCATTAGGGTTTATTATTATCTGAAGTTTCAACTGGCAGTTCCGTGTTCATTGACCAAAGTGTGAGCATTTACTTCTGTTGTTTTGTCCACACAAGTGCAGTTTGGACAAATTTGTTCCATGAACTGGGGGTTCCAGAGACAAGTTACGGGTAAGTTACAACAACTTCCTATGACAAGTTTGAAAGTTCCTTGAGTCGCGCTTGTGTAGGCAAGGCCTAAACAATTAGTTGATGAGCCTCGTAATTGATTGAATAATCCAGTGGTAGTTGATGGTCAAAGAGGCAAAGAAAATGGTAAATGTAGCCATCATGCGTTACGATTCAGAAAACTAAAAATTTTAATACAGAGGGAAAAAGCTAATTTGAGCACGATTTTCCTTCAAAGAGAAACGCTGTTTGGTGCAACAATAGTTACCATCATCCAGGAAGGCAACCCCAGATTCGTTTTAGGTCTAATTGGACCCATCATCAGTGCAACGCAGCCTCCTGAATTTTCTGCTACCAAGCTCGGAGCGGTTATGAAAATCAGCCGGATGTTTGGTTGTAAAAAATTTAGGAGGCTGCGCTCAACTGATGAAGGATCCAATTGGACCCAAAACTTGTCTCCAGTTGCCTTCCAGAATGGTCTGAACTGGTGTTGCACCAAACAGTGTATCTCTATGGGGGAAAATTGTGCTCAAATGAGCTTTTTTCCTCTGTACTTAGATTTTAAGTTTTCTGAATTGTAATGCTTGTTGGCTAAATTTCTAACTTTTTGTCTAAACGACTCGTGCGTTTACTGTAATCAGTTTGTAAAAGCAAAGGGGTGTACATTTTTCTACTGAATTGCTGAATTAGGATTGCCTTATTATTTGGCTTTTGAAATGCTGTCTTTCACTGATTAAAGTAGTGAGGGAGTTACCATCCTCCATATTTGAATTAATTTTAACCAAGCACTCAAGCCTATGGACTGAAAACCACTTTTCAATTTTTTTTATTACAATACAATTTGTTTTCATCAGTATGATAAGGCATGATTAAAAATTGATGTTCGATGACAGCAGGGCTCTCATATTGTCACTCCTCTGACCTAAGGGCGTGTCTCGATTTTTGGACATTTTGAGTCATGCATGCATCCATATGTATATTGAACTGCTCTATCGATCTATCTCACTCCCAGGTCCGAATTCCCAACAGTTAATGACTTATTCTCATAAAACTGAAGGGTGTATCTCCTCATTGCCGAAAAAGCAATGCGACATAAGGGTGTATCTCTGCCTCCACACCGGAGGATGCACCCCTATGTCGAGCCGGTTCTCAGTGGTGAGTATCCCATACACCCTTCTTGCAGCATGTCCGGTGACGAGTTTTCAATTATATCTTAGAGAAACTTTTTGATATTAATATGGCCTAAATTTTTTATAAAAACTATTAATATGGTCAACATGGTCTACATATAAAAACTATCAAATCATGCGTCTAGAGCATTAGCTTGCAATGCTGATTCTCACTATTCGTTGCTGGAATGTTCAAATTGAATTTGTAGTATGTGCCGTCTACAGACGAACGTTTGTTCCAGTGTGATTCTTGCTCATCAAACATAATAATATTTCCGCAAATTAATGCAAGTGGTGGTCCTGTATACTACTTTTCATCTTTGCCTCAGTGCGGACTGGTTTTCTCAGGCTGCCTTTCGTGTGCTCGCTGCATCCTTACAACAGTCCCATCGGTAAGGCGGGGTCAAGGAAATAACCCTCGGACACCCCAGCCACTGTAGCTTTCAGAAAGTGGTTTTGTACCTAATTACACCCATTCACGCACAAGTGGAGGGAACATGTGGCAAGCAAGCCTACACTGACTTGAAATAAGATTTCCTCGGAACAGCTCAATGCAGGGGAGGAGAGTCGGTAACTAAGTCTTCGACCGCCATGGGGAAAGAGAAAGTAGGGAATATGAGTCCAACACTGTATTTGGGGTTTTGCTTTCAAATTTTTGACACCCTGTTCGTTCAGCTGAAAAATACTAAAAACATTGTGATCTACGAGGACAAACTAGAGGCTGGTCCTTAGTTGGCAAATTCTCATCTCTTGCTGGTCGAGCTCTCACCACCTCTTTTCACTCTTTTATTTCGCCAATTCGTGGTAATTGAGTAACCTTGCAAACTCAAGCAAGTTTCTGAGGGAAGATGAGAGGAGGGATATACACACCCAAAACTCGATCCCTTTGAGTCAGTCTTCAGCCGAGCTAGCTATGGTCACGAGACTCTGAAACGGCACGGCCTCCGGATTACGATTACAGATGAGGAATTTGTGACATATTTAGCGCTCAACATGGATGTATTAGTAGAATGAATAGACGGGACTATAAATATTGTAAGTGCGGCGGATTAGAGGCGGTATTTCTAGCAGAAACAGCTTAAAATCTGGATTCCTCCCTTGTATACACAAAACTTGGGTCCTAAGCGTGTACTTTCTTCATATTTGATTTTATGTTGCATTTTTCATCAGTATTTCCAAGTGCATGTTAGTCAAAACTCTATTAAAAGTTCATTGGCAAAGGGTTTTTCAATGCGGAAACGAGTTGAAACTAATATCAGCTGTAAACTGTGAGCTCTGCGTCATCAAAAGAGGGGCGTATCTGGTTGCCGTGCGCGGAAACGGGTTTGACGTAAGTTCGTATCTGGTTGCCATGCGCGGAAACGGGTTTGATGTGAGTTCGTATGTTGGCATATTTCAATGAACTCATCTTAAAGCTCTTTTAAAGTCAATGACTAGAAGAAAAATTGATATAATATGAGTCCTGACCTTTTTTCCTATAAGCTGATAAGAAAATGAGTTCTGTAGGTTGAATACCTGAGGAATAGGATGCAAAAGAAAGTACCATAAGTCCTATTTTCGCTCTCCTGAAAAGAAACAAAAAACGAGATACGCCCTAACATCAGAGGAGCAATGATATGTTAAAATTGCTCTCTTGGTCCAATTTGAAAAAAAAATAAAGTTTAAATTAAAGCTAAGAGTGTGCTGAATCCAGCGATATATTTAGAATTTATCTGGCATTAAAAGTTTGCAAAAAAAATTGATAGGAAATCTTCCTGTCTGGATACTCCTCGTAATTTCATTTGAGTGAGGATAATGTTTAAGATTCATTGCTACATTTTGTCAATTTTAGGAAACAATATTCTTAAGCAGCTGGCTCATTGCTGAAAAATCCACCAAGTGTTCTATGTTCCACATTCTTGTGCAGGCAGTTAGGCAGTCGTTACCTACTTGGTTCTACATTATGGCACAGAGAGATGGAACGAACAGCGGGAACCACTATGAATACAAGATCTGTCTGGAAAGTATCCAACCTTGTTGATTATCTCGCCATCAACGGTTGTTAAGAGGTTGGGGCTTGGGATTATCTTTACAGGGACTCTCCTGAGTGCAGGTGTAAAGCCCGATTATCACGCGTTGAATCAGTCGTTGGTAATTTGCTGATTAGTGCGTACTATTCTGCTGTGATCGTCGGATTTCCTTTTCCCTAAAAAGGAAGTTAAAGAAAGTGGGGTGGGAAGAGTTAGTGAAGAAGATCATCACAAGGAACGCATCTTGGATCTACGGTTACGACCCTGAGATAAAAAACCGATTGTCAGTTTGGATCGCACCTAGAAGACCTTGCCTGTAGAAAGCTTGAAAGAGTCGCAGCAATGTGAAGACAATGTTGACTGTCTTTTTCGATCATGACGGTGTCGTCCATCATGAATACGCTCCCCAATGCTCTACTATCAATAAAGAGAGCTATTGAGAAACTTTACATAGCTTGAGAGGCCTTGGGGAGCGTATTCATGATGCACGACACCTTTATAATAGAAGAAAAAAGTCAACATTTTCTTCACATTGCTGCGACTCTTCCGAGCTTTCAGCGGGCCAGGTCTTCCAGTTATGATGCAAACTGACGATTGCTTTTTTTTGTCTCAGGGTTGTACCCATAGACCCAAGACGCGTCTCCTGTGATGATCTCCTTCACAAACTTTTCCCACCCCACACTCCTTAACTTCATCTTTTTTAGGAAAAACGAAATCCGACGATCAAAGCAGAATAGCGCGCATTAATCAGCAAATTACCAACGACTGATTCAACGTGTGATAATCGGGCTTTACACCTGCACTTATGAGAGTTCCTGCGAAGATAATTCTAAGCCTTGACCTCTTCTCAACCGTTGACGGCGAGATAATCAACATGGTCCAATACTTTCCGGACAGACCTTGTATGATTCAAAGGGTCTGAGTGAGTAACATAAAACGCAGTTGCAGACATCATTAATTTGATCCCTCAGTCTCTGCTTTTATGATACAGTTCCTTCTATCCCAATCGTAGAAATGAGCTATTGGATGAATAGGTTGTTTCCTAAAAACCGATGATTATAAATGGTTTGGTATACAAGTCATCGACTTCTTTGTGGAAAGAGTCGTAAAACTGCCAGGAAAGGGTACATTTACCTTATTGAACATTATACAAAAACAAAGAAATTGTAGAGAGAGGGATGTACCGATTTGATGGATTACAGATGTTGAATACGTTGTCATTTCTGTTATCTTCCAAATTTTTCAATGTATCACAGTCTAGGATCAGACAGTCAGATGGAGCCTAAGACAAATAAAATTATAAAATGATGTGAGATATACTGAGGTCAATAATTCTTAAGCAGGAAGACAATAACAAATGAATGTAAAATAATTTCTGTTTCTTTTGACTTGTTTTAAATTTTATTGGGTATTTCGTTTGAAGTAAGCACGTTTTAAAACCATAATAACAGTTAAAAAAAGTTTGAGATTAGACGAGGCATTGCACACTCATTTGACACTGGGATAGAAAGCCTGCACTATATTTTTACCAGCTGTACTTGGAGATTCACATGTGTAATTCATGGCCTACTGGATTTTGTATGATTTGGGGTAAAATACTTACAGTGCTGTTCAGTATTGAAAGATTAATTAAATCATTGAATTGGAAAGAAAAAAAGGGGTTCGCATTTTTTCAACAGTGACAGATTCTTGTTATGACCTCTCAAAATTAAGTGAAATGAATATGGAGGACAAAATGGCAACCCTTAATTGATAACACTGGTCTGACGGCTTCCATGTACGGAGGCTAAAAGTGGGAATTTTCACCCAGTTTCATTTAGCTATACAAAACCAGTAGCCTGTGGCAGAATGAAAAGTTCATGTTTGAGGCGGCGGTGGCAAAAAATAAAAAAAAATAAATTAAAAAAAAATCAATATGTTGGGGTAAAATATTAGTAGGAGGAAAAAAATTAAAAAAAAAAAAAATAACGCCAGAAGATACGAAAGAATGATGAACTAAAATGAATTTTATGAATAGAGCTTTAGCACTCACGGAAATGCTCGCAACTAGCATGAATTAATGACCATGATAGGGTACTATTTTTTAAGAATGCAATTCGAAAATCCTGCGACGCGACGTCCGTGCCCTACCGGCTCCCGAACCTGGATGAGAGCGAGAGGGGAACAAGCAGAGCGAGCTGCCCGTCTCACGTTACCTGTGATTTGCATTCGGTGAAGAGAGAGAACCTACGTGCAATGATGAAGGGGTAGACGAAAGAGGAGAGACGCCGGCGCGGGGTGCAGAGCGTGGCAGGAGCATTGGGTTCAGAGACGAGGGCGGACCGCGCTCGCGGAGTGAACATAGTGGAGAGAAAATGGAGCTAAGAAAGAACGAAAAAGGACAGCCGCTCATCAGTCGAGCTTTTTCCTATACCAGTGGTTCGCAGGTGCTAGGGAACCGCCGAATTTCTTCTATGCCAGTTCGTCCTCTGCCTCCCCCTGAGCCTGCGAGCAGCGCACGGGCCGCATCTCCCAGTTTTCCGGTCTCAGTCTCCCTTTTTCCTGCAGGTGCGTGTTGTGCTTTCAATTTTGAGGAAACTAAACTATCACTAAATAAAATAAATTGCGGGAAAACGATCAGTAAAAAAAACAAGTAGCAAAAGCTACCTGCTGAGGGGGCGCCGCCCCCCCAGACCCCCC